CCGCCACCAACATCGCTACCATGGCCGTGGTCGGACAGCTCCTGGGCCGCCGTCATCTCGGCATCTACCTCGGCGTCATCGTGCTCGTGAGCCTGGCCGCGGGCCTGCTGGTGGACGCGACCCTGGCCGGCGCCATCCATGTGGTTCCCTTCGGCGAGCTGGGGCAGGACTCCGACGTGATATTCGCGCTCAAGGCGCTGTCAGCCGTGGCGTTGGTCCTGCTGCTGCTCCGGAGCTTCGTGCGAACCCGCCTTGCTTGACAAAGGACAAATATGATAATAGGTTCTCAATAATAACTCGGACGAGGGAGATCGCGGAATGAAGAGACTACTGTCGGGGGTCTATTACTCACCATCGCCACAAGCTTTTGGATCAGTGCTCATCCGGCGCTCGGACGCGGCGAGCCCATGGGCGTGGTGACCAGCGTGATTCCCGTCGCCTATATCGTTGAAGAGTTGGGAGGTGAGCGCGTCCGGGTGCATGCGCTGGTGCCGCCGGGTGCGAGCCCCCACACGTTCGAGCCGGTGCCCAGTGATCTACGGAAGCTTGCTCAGGCTCGGCTTTTTGTCGTCGTGGGTGGAGGCTTCGATGCCTGGTCCGACAAGCTTCTGGGGGCGGCGCCCAAGGGTCTGGAGACCTTGACACTGTTCGACGCGCCGAACCTGAAGCCTCTGGAAGGGACGACGACCATCACGGCGAAGAACAGGCTGCCAAGGAGGGCGGCAAGAAGAAAGGTGAGGAGGAGGAAGAACTCAATCCCCATTTCTGGCTGGACCCGATACGGTTAAGAGACGCGGTCGTGCCGGTGGTGGTGGAGCGGTTGATGGCGGCGGATCCGGGCGGCAAGGAATACTACCGGAAGCGCCGGGAAGACTTTCACCGGAGGTTGACAGCGTTGGGTACGTGCGGATTGGACGGGAACTCGGCAACGCGAAGACGCGAAAATACGTCGCGTTTCACGCTGCCTGGCCCTACTTCGCCGAACGGTATGGCCTTGAGAAGGTCGCGGTGGTGCAGGAGTTCGGCGGCGAGGAGCCGACCCCCAGGGAAGTCGGCAATCTCGTGCGCGATGCACGCGCCGCGGGAGTCGGGGCCATTCTGGTGGAGCCGCAACTGAGTCCGCGGGTGGCGCGGACCATCGCCGCGGAGTTTGGCGCCAAGACGGTGTTGGTGGACCCGGTGGGCGACCCCGGGGACCCGGCGCGCTCCAACTACGAAGCGCTCATGCTGTTCAACACACGAGCTTTCGGCCGGGCGCTGGAGGGGAAACGGAATTGAGCGAAGGAAACGACAAGGTCGTGGTGGGCCTGAGCGGCGTGACAGTGGAGCTCGACGGCCGCTGCGTGTTGCACGACATCAACTTCGAGGTGCACGAGGGCGGTTTCGTAGGGATCGTCGGCCCCAACGGGGCCGGCAAGACCACGCTCATGCGCACGATCATGGGGCTGGTGCCGGTGGTGAGCGGGCGGGTGGAGGTGTTCGGCTACCCGCCGGGCCGGAAAGGCTCTCACGCCATCGGTTACGTCCCGCAACGGCAGAGTGTCGCGGCCGACTTTCCGGCAACCGTCGGCGACGTGGTGATGATGGGGAGGCTGCGGCAACTCGGTGCATTGGGGTTTCCGGGCCGGAAGGACTGGCAGCGGGTGGACGACAGCCTCGAGCTCGTAGGCATGCTGGACCGTAGGAACCGCCCGGTGGGCCGGCTGTCCGGAGGCGAGCAGCGCCGGGTCATGCTGGCCCAGGCCTTGTGCGCCAGCACCCGGCTGCTGGTGCTCGACGAGCCCACGGTGGGCCTCGATCTCCCCGCCGAACATGAGTTCTACGCGCTGCTCCGCAGGCTCATACGCGACCTGACCCTGACCATCGTGACCGTGTCCCATGATCTCGTGGCCATGGCCGGCCAGACCGATGAGCTGATTTGCATCAACCAACGCATGCACATCCACGGGAACGCCGAGGACGTGATCCACAGCCACGCCATTCGCGAAGCCTATCGTTGCGAGTTCGACTTTCTGGGCGGGGAGCTTGCCCATCACGAGACGCCCGGCCATCAACATGAGGGCTGACACGCCGGCAGCGCCCCGGCACCGCCGCGGCTGACGGCCTGTCATACGGAAACTTTTCTGATGTTCGACTTTGCCTTCATGCAGCGTGCATTGGCCGCGGCGGTCCTGGTGGGCGTCTTGTGCGGGGTCCTGGGTTTCTTCGTGGTGCTGCGCCGCCTGGCGTTCATCGGCGTCGGGATTTCCCACTCGGCCATCGGAGGGGTGGCCATCGGCATCCTGGCGGGGTGGAATCCCCTCCTGACCGGTGCCTTCTTCGCCATCGCCGTGGCGCTGGGTATCGCCCTGGTCAGCCAGAACGACAAAATCAGCGAAGACACGGTCATCGGCGTGTTCTTCTCGGGCTCCATGGCCCTGGGCGTCGTCCTCTTCAGCATGAAGAGCGGCTACCAGCAGGACCTCTTCAGCTACCTCTTCGGCAATGTGCTCGCCATCTCCACCGTCGAGCTCATGGCCCTCGCCGGAGTAAGCGCGGTGATCATGGTGATCATGCTGATAACCTTCAAGGAGCATCTCCTGATCGCCTTCGACGAAGAGGTGGCGGCGGCCTACGGCCACAATGTTCTGGCCCTCAACGTGCTGCTGCTGGTGGTGCTGGCCCTCACCGTGGTCATCGGCGTCAGGCTGGTTGGCCTGTTGCTGATTCAGGCGCTGCTGGTGGTGCCCGCCGCCATCGCGGCGCTCTGGGCGGTGAATTTCCGGTGGCAGGTGTTGCTGGCGGCCCTGGTGGGAATGCTTTCAGGCGTCGTGGGGCTGGTGCTGGCGTATCACTTCGACATCGCCGCCGGCGGCTCCATCGTGATGGTAGCGGTGGCGCTCTTCTTCGTCACCCTCCTGGCGCATTTCATCCGCCGGCACTTCAGGAACCCTCCCCCTGCATCGTAACGATGCAACAACTGATGGCGTCCTTCGACTTCGCTACGCAGCGTCGCTCGCCAGGACGAACGGAAAGCATCTCCGTTCGTACGGCTGGAACGCAACACTAGTCTCCGTGTACTGAGCGTAGCGGAGCGCTATGCGTAGCGAGTCGAAGGACGCCGTCTATCGTCGTGCCCATCCCGTTGGAGCTTGAGCCGTGGAATTGCTGTTGAGCGGTATCGTATGGGAGATCGGGAACGGTCGAGGGCGACCTGCCGTATGCTAACTTCGGGGCGCGAAAGGCCAATCCGTCATTCCCGCTTTCCAGGCCGTGTCAAAACTGCCCCCTCTCCCTCTGGGAGAGGGTTGGGGTGAGGGAACCTCGTGGCAAGCAGGCCGGTGTCAACGGCAATGAATGGGAGCGGCAGGGTTATTGGGGGCCCTCACCCGGCCTTCGGCCACCCTCTCCCAGAGGGAGAGGGGTTGGGTTTGGGACGGGTCGCAACGCCAAAAGGACCCGGAGATTCGTAAGCGTATTTGTGAGACACAACACTAGCGCCTTCAGCGGGCGCTTTTCGCCGGCCGCGGCCAGCGCAGGCGCGTGATCACGAACAGCGCCAGCGCCACCGTGACGACGGAGGGGCCGGACGGCGTGTCGAAGGTCGCCGAGGCCAGCAGTCCGCCCGCAATGGCGACAATGCCCGCCACGGCCGCGGCGCCGGCCATTTTCTCCGGGCTCGACGCGAAAGCGCCGGACCGTGGCCGGTGGTATCACCAGCAACGCGACGATCAGCAGGATCCCGACGATCTTGACGGCGACCGATATGATCGCCGCCACCAGGAACCCGAACACCAGCCGCGCGCGTTCCGGCTGTAGCCCCGCCACCGTGGCGAGATCGGCGCTCACCGTGGCCGCCAGCAGCGGGCGCCAGATCCACCACAGCACCCCCAGGGCAGCCGGCGCCGCCAACCCAGATGACGAGGAGATCCGCGCGCGTCACCGCGAGGATGTCGCCGAAGAGCAGCGCGTGCAGGTCGAAGCGCATGCTTGGGAAGAAGGCCAGCACCACCAGGCCCAGCGAGAGTCCGCCATGGGCCAGCAGGCCGAGCATGGTGTCCGTGGGCAGGGTGTCGCTCCGTTCGAGAAAGAACATGATCAACACCACCGCGCTGGCGGCGGCGAAGATCCCGATGGCCAGATCGATGTCGAGCACGATGGCCACCGCAACGCCGAGCAGGGCCGAGTGGGCGATGGTCTCGCCGAAGTAGGCCAGCCGTCGCCATACCACGAAACATCCCGTCGGTCCGGTGACGATGGCCAGCCCGACACCGGCCAGCAGCGCCCGCGTGAAGAAGTCGTCCAGCATCGTTCAGCCCGGGGGGGCGTCCCCGCGATTCGCGTCGAGCCCCTGGAAGCGCTGGATGCCGAAAGGCGGGTCGTCGTGTTCGTGAGGCACCAGGACCACGAGGTCGTCGCCGGTGTCCATGGCCTTCTTGAGGTCGTGGGAGATGATCAGGACGCCGCAGCCGAGGTCCCGGCGGATCCCTTCGATCAGCTCATAGACGACGTCCGTTCCGGTGGCATCGACGCCCCGTTCCGGTTCGTCGAGGACCAGCAGATCGGGCCGGTGAATCAGCGCCCGCGCCAGCATCAGCCGCTGGAATCTCGCCCCCCGACAAGCTCGTGACCGGCGGGTCGCCGAGCCGTTCGAGGCCCACCGCGGTGAGCGCCGCGTCGATCCTGTCCGCAGGGGAAACTGCCTGTCAGCGTCATCAGACGGCGCAGGGTCATGGGCAGGGTCGGGGTCACCTGCAGCCTCTGCGGAACATAGCCCACCTCAAGCGATGGCGCCCGCGTCACGCGTCCCTCGGTGATGTCGATCAACCCGAGGACGGCCTTGACGCAGGTGGACTTGCCGGCGCCGTTGGCGCCGATGATGTAGACCAACTCGCCGGGAGCCACCTTGAGGTCCACGTGCCGGATGATCCAGCGTTCGCCGAGCCGCACGCCGATGTCACGGGCGTTGACCAGCAGGTTGGGAGCGGCAGGCTGTGTGTTTGAACTATCCATCATCGGTGCGTGATAGCGCGGGGGAATCGAATGAGCTTGAACGTTTGAACCCAACGGGGTAGTTTCTCGCAAATATTCTACGCAGACTCAAGGATCGACATGACTCAGACAAGTTTTTCGCGACACTGCTGCTTATGATCGCCGCGACGACAACGGCCGGTGCCGCGGATCGGGTGCGTGGCGACGTTCAAGCCGGTACACTCGCTTGTGAGCGCCGTCATGGCCGAGGTGGGTGGAAACCCTACCTGATCATGCGGGGCGCCGAGTCGCCACACACCTACCGCATGCGCCCGTCCGACGCCGGGGTGATCGGCAAGGCCAGGGTCATCTTCATGATCGGCGATCTCGTCGAAACCTCCCTGGCCGGGGCTATCCACAAGCTCGGCGGCAAGGCCCGGGTGGTGGAGCTGGCCGAGGTGCCGGGGCTGGTCCGCAAGCCCCTCCGCATGGGCGGTGCGTTCGAAGACGACGGGCACGATCATGGACACGGCCACGGGCATTCACATGGACCCGGGAAAGGCCACAGCCATGACGACGAGGCTTTCGACATGCACGTGTGGCTTGACCCGGTGAATGCCGGGTTGATGGCGGTCGCTATCGCCCGCACCCTGTCCGAGGCCGATCCGGCCAATGCCGCGAAGTACGAGGCCAATGCCGGCGCGCTGGTTGCCCGGCTGGACGAGCTGAAACGCGCAACTCGCCGCGGAGCTGGCCCCGGTGAACGACAAGCCCTTTATCGTGTTTCACGATTCCTATCGTTACTTCGAGGATCGTTTCGGGCTGACAGCCGTGGGCTCGGCGGTGGTCAGCACCGGCCGGTCGCCCGGCGTCCGTCGCGTCAGAGAGCTTCGCAAAAAGGTACACGAACTCGGGGTGGTCTGCGTGTTCGCCGAGCCTCGTTTCGACCAGCGCCTTATCCGCGTCATTACGGAGCGCACACAGGCCCGGGGCGGTACGATCGATCCCGCGGGTATCACCATCAAAGCCGGACCCGAGATGTACTTCACCCTGATGCGCAACATGGCCGCATCCTTCAAGGGGTGTCTGGCGCCGCCGGGTTAATCCCGAATCCGTCATTCCCGCGGAAGCGGGAATGTGGATTCCCGCTTTCCAGGCCGTGTCAAAACTGCCCCCTCTCCCTCTGGGAGAGGGTTGGGGTGAGGGTATTCGGTGTAAGCACCCCGTTGGATGGGGTAAACAATGGGCGGGCAGGGTTGTTGGGGCGCCCTCACCCGGCCTCCGGCCACCCTCTCCCAGAGGGAGAGGGGTTTTGACACGGCCTGTTCCGCGGGAATGACGTTTCGGGTGTCGGCGCCATTTTCGTATCAATGACTCGAGTTAGTTTCCGATGGAGGACGCCTTCCGCGAAAGATTGAGGGCGAACCCCCCGCTGCGAACCTGTATGTGCGCGTAGTCCGCTCGTTGGGTGAACCCCTCCACCAGCCGCGTTACCGGTTCCGCCTCGAAGGGATAGTCCCTGGGCGGACCCGCGGCGCGCATGGTGTCGATCTCGTCCCGGGTCAGGAAATACCGTAGCAACAGCTCCTCGTCCGACACCCCGGCGCCGCCGTACTTCGCGCGCAGCTCCTGGATCGTGGGCTCCGGCGGCTCCCACGCGGCCAGCTCCCGGGCCCGCGGGCACCCCAGGATGCGGTCCTTGACCTCGACGTCCATGGTTTCGCTGCCTTCCCGGCCCCAGCGCCCCAGGGCGTAGAGGATCACCTGGTCGGTGACCTCCTTGTAACGCTCCCCGACGATGATGTTGATGGCCGCCTGGCTGCCGACGAACTGGGACAGCGGCGTGACCATGATGGGATAGCCCCAGCTCCTCGCGCACCCGCACCACCTCCTCCAGGGCCCTTTCCATATGGTCCCCGAGACCCACCCGCGCGAGTTGGTGGCGCAGGTTCGAGATCATGCCGCCGGGCACCTGGTGCAGGTACTGGCTGTAGTCGTACTCCACCGGCGCGCCGATGGGGAATCCCCTCCCGGCGGGCCACCTCGGTGAAGTAGTCGGACACCGGCCGCAGCACCTCCTCGTCCACCGCGGTCTCGTAGCCCAGGCTCCGGGCGTTGGCCGCGACGTTGAACAGCGACGGGTTGGACGAGCCGTTGGCCAGCGGCGGCAGCGCGGTGTTGATGATGCGGATGCCCTGCTTGATGGCCTCCAGGGCGCACAGCGGCCCCAGGCCGGTGGTGCAGTGGGTGTGGAACTCCAGCGGGATGCCGCCGATGTTCTCCATGATGAGAGGAACCAGGGTGCGGGTGCGGTCCGGGGTCAGCAGCCCTCCCGGGTCCTTGAAGCAGATCCGTGCCACCGGCACCGTCGCCGCCTGCCGCGCCCGCTCCGCGAAGTACGCGTCGGTGTGCTTGGGCGACACCGAGTAGATGATGTTCAGGATGGGCTCGAGCCCGGCCCCCGTGGCGATGCGCACCGTCTTGCGCCACCCCGCGACATCGTTCCACTCGTCGGAGATGCGGCCCTGGCGGACGCCGTTGGCCGCCATCCGCTCCAGAAAGATCCGCTGGATGGACTCCGGCGTCAGCTCGAAACCGTTGCGGCTCCCGATGATGACCCGCAGCGGCGTCTCCCGGATCCGCCCCGCCACCAGCCGTATCCGCTCCCAAGGGTCCTCGTGCAGCTCCCGCACGCACTTCTTGATGTGGGAGCTCGACATCAGCTCCATGCCCTTGAAGCCGGCCCGGTCCATGCGCTCGCCCACCGCCAGCATCATGCCCGTGCGCATGGACTCCGCCCACAGGCTCTGGTGCCCGTCCCGTAGGTGGTGTCGACGAATTCGATGGGTTCCATGGGTGCTCCCTTCCAAGGGGGTTTATCAAATGGCGCACTCATCGCGCTCGCGCGATCGCCCATGTCGGCTTGCAACCGACGGATGAAATGGGCAATGCCGGTCAGGGCAGCGGCAAGTCTCTTTCCCTCTGGGAGAGGGTGGCCTCGTTTCGTCCCAAACCCAACCCCTCTCCCTCTGGGAGAGGGTGGCCTCGTTTCGTCCCAAACTTAACCCCTCTCCCTCTGGGAGAGGGTGGCCGAAGGCCGGGTGAGGGCCCCCCCACCAACCCAGACCGTTCCTTCCCTGCCGTTTCCAACGGGCCCACTCGCAAAACGGGCACCCCACACACGACCCTCCCGAGGAGAGGTGTCCAAAGGCCAGGGTGAGGGCACCCCAATAAACCCGACCGTTCAACTTCCATGGCGTCCACGGCGCTGCTCGCACACGAGGCACCATCACCCTCCCCAGAGGGAGAGGGGGTCAAAGGCCGGGTGAGGGCGCCCCCATAACGCGGACCGTTCCTTCCCTGGCGTTTCCAACGGGCTCGCTCGCACCGAGGCACCCTCACCCCGACCCTCTCCCAGAGGGAGAGGGGGTCAAAGGCACAAGCGCCTCAATCATCCTCCGCGGCGTTGCGGCCGGCGATGCGGCCGAAGGCCAGGACCTCCGTCAGGTTGCTGGCTCCCGGGTAGTTCTGGGACCACATGGAGCCGAGCTCGCCGGCGCTGTAGAGTCCCGGGATGGGCTGGCCCCAGGCGTTCAGCACCTGGGCCCGGGCGTTTCGGCGCGGGCCGCCCTGGGTGTTGAACAGGCTGGGCCATAGCGCGGCGCCGTAGAACGGCGGGCGCTCCAGCGGTCTCAGCGTGTCGGCGGATCGCCCGAAGGCTTCGTCCCGCTCCTTGGCGCAGGCCTTGTTGTACACGCTGACGGTTCGTTCCAGCGCTGCCGGGTCCAGGCCCAGCGCGGGCGCCAGCGCCGCCGGGGTGTCACCCGTCTTGATCCAGCCCTTGGCCACCTCCGCGGCGTTGTCGTCGCTCCACCGGTACCGTTCGGACACGGCGCCCCGGCCGGTGTTGGCCACCGGTCCGGCCGTGCGGGTGGCTTCGTCGAACACCACGAAGGAGGGCACCCGGGGCCGCTCCATGGTCTCCAGGTCCAGCTCGGTCACCAGCGAGCCCACGGCGTGGGCGTCCATGACGGTCTCGTCCGCGAAACGGCGGGCGTTCCGGTCCACGTAGATGAACCCCGGACCCGGCATGGCGTGGATCACGGCGCCGTCGAACCCGTCCACCCGGTAGCCGAAGCCCGCGGCCACGGCGTTCATGTGCCACAGGGACGCGCCCACGTCCGCGGCCATGCGGATGCCGTCTCCGGTGTGACCGGAGGCGCCCAGGGACCAGAACTCGTTGCCCCAGGAACTGGAGCTGCATGTCGGGGTCCCATTCATAGCCGCCGCAGGTGAGGATCACCGCCTTGCGCGCCCGGATGGATATCTCTTCCCCGCCGCGCCGCGCCACGAGCCCGTCGACCGCGCCGTCGCCATCTCGGACCAGCCGGACGGCGGGGCACTCGAACAGCACCGGGATGCAGCGTTCCTCGACGTTCCGGCCAGCAACTCCCACAGGTCGCGGCCGTTGGCGGTGGTCTCGCCCTTGACCCGGAGCCGCGGGCCGACGCCGTCCGCCCCGGGCTGTCTCCGGCGAGGCGGCGCCGGTGGGATAGATGGGATAGCTCGTGGGCGTGGCCCGGATCGGGTCGATGACCACCTCGCCTCCGAGGGAGCGGAGCCAGGGTTCATTGTCATGGCTCTCGCGCACCAGCGCCTCGATCACCTCCGGGTCGGTGGCGCCGCCGCACAGGAAGGTGATGTGCTCCACCGCCCGTTCCATCGCGCCGAAGGTGCGCACCGAACCGGCGGAGAGCCGGGTGTTGCCGCCGCCCGAAGCCGCCTTCTCCACGATCAGGACCTTGGCGCCGCGGTCGGCGGCGGTGATGGCCGCGACTGCGCCGGCGCCGCCGTAGCCCACCACGGCCACGTCGGTCTCCCGCGACGACGTTAGTGTTGTGTCCCACATACAAGTTTACAAATCTGCTGGTCTTTTTCGCCGTCGGCTGCGTACGTCACCCCGGGCTTGACCCGGGGTCTTCCTCGCGTGGTGCCCGCCACGGGGGCGACCGCAGGTCGCCCCTACAAGTCATCGCGCCTTGCCGACAACAAAAATTCCTGCGCATCTTCATATGCGTAATTCGATGTCAGGACACTAGCGAACGGCTCATTCCGGCTTGACCAGGCGCCCTTTCCCGCACCAGCCGCTCGATGATCTTGCGGGCCTCGGCGCGGGTCTCCACGGTGTCTTGCAGCTTGCGGTCGCTCCAGCCGTCGTTGGGCCAGCGCTTGGCCTTGGCGTACACGGGGGCGTACATGTCGCTGCGCAGTTCCACCAGGAAGTTCCACACGTGGCCCGAGTCGGCCATGCGCGTCCGTTCCCAGCGGAGGTTGTCGATGTCCACGGTGCCGGTGACCACCGCCTCGCCGGGAGCGTTGGCCGCCGACTGCACGTGCCCCATGTAGTCGATGACCTGGGTCATGCCGCGGTAGCCGCCGGTGGGCCGGTTGGAACCCACGAAGGCGCCGGCGTTGACCGAAAGGAAGTAGCACAGGTTCTCGTAGGCCCGGGCGCGCCGGAGCACGTCCCAGGCCTCGCCTTCCGGCGCGTAGGGCTCGGCGGTGGGGTGGATCAACACCTCGGCGCCGCGCAGCGCCAGGCAGCGGGCCATCTCCGGGAACACCACGTCGGTGCAGGTCAGGCACCCCAACCGGCCGATATCGGTGTCCGCCACCGGGAACATGGAGTCCTCGCCGTAACGCTCGGTGTACTCGGAATAGACGTCGCCGGGGCCGGTGTACGTGGTGTTGAGGTTGTTGGGGCCGTTGTTCTTCCGGTACTTGAGGATGATTTGGCCGTCGGGGTCGACGATGAAGCTCGTGTTGAAGAGGCGGCCGGGCCAGTCGTCGTCACGCTCGTAGAGGTTGCCGACGATGTAGCAGCCCCGCTCCTTGGCCTTGCGGCCGATCTGGTCCGTGACGTCGCCGGGAATGGTCTCGGCCAGGGCCAGCCACTCGTCCACCGAACGCGGCCGGTACTGCCCGATGATGCTGTACTCCGAGAACACCGCCAGCTTTACGTCTCCGAGACGCAGCGCGGTCCAGTCCAGCAGCTCGAAGATGCGATCGAGATTCTCGTCGATGATCTCGTTTCGCTCCTTCGGCTCCACGATCACCCGGGTCTGCTGTTGAATCAAAGCCACTCGATACGGTTTCATGAAACCTCCCTGGGCGCCAGTACCGGCCGCCGGCGCGATGCAGGCGCGGGCGGGTTTGAAACCCGCCCCTACGCTTGGGTCGTCATGCGGCGCAGCCTCCCTACGCCCTGTTGTCCAGGTACCACTGCGCCATCTCCTCGCGCTTGGGATACCACACCCCGTCGAAGGTTTTGACGTAGTCGACGAAGTCGCGCAGGGCGCGGATGGCGTAGGCCTGGCCCATGACGTGGGGGTGCATGCCCACGTTCATGATGCGGCCGCTGGTCTCTCCCTCCAGGTAGAGCTGGTTGAACTGCTCCTTGAACAGGTCCAGGGCCTGGGAGGTGGTACGGCCGCCCCGGGAGAAGACCGCGAAGTCGTTGACATCGTTGGAGTAGGGGATGCACACCAGCGGGCCGTGGCGGGTGTTGAGCAGGTAGGGCTGGTCGTCGTTCAGATAGTCCGCCTGGAACAGCAGCCCCAGTTCCTTCAGGATGTGGGGCGTCTCGTGGGTGCTCCGGAGGGACGACGACAGCCAGCCCCGGGCCGGCCGTCCCACCGCCTCGGCGTAGGCGTCCAGGGTCCGGCGGATGACCTCGCGCTCCTTCTCCGGCTGGTGCGCGTAGTAGGTGAGCACGTCGTTCTGGGCATAGTTGTGGGCCAGGATCTCCCAGCCGCGCTCGTTGGCGGCGTCGATGATGCGGCGCCGCTCGATGCCGGTGAGGGCGTTCATGGTGCAGGTGGCGGGCACGCCGGCCTTGTCGAACACGTCGATGATGCGCCACACCCCGACGCGCTGCCCGTACTCGCGCCAAGTCCAGTTGGCGTAGTCGGGAACATTGCCCGGAAGCGGGTGTGGAATGGTGGCCGGGCCGCCAGGATAGAGCGGCTCGGCGCTGTCGCGGGTCATCTCCCAGTATTCGATGTTGATGGTGAAGATCAGCGCCACCCGCGCGCCATGGGGCCAATGCAACGGCTCACGGTCCGGGAAGGCAACGTAGTCGTAAAGCATAGCGGAGTCCTAACACCCATTGCCCCTACCCGGCAACGCGGGCATAATGACGTTGGAGGATGAATCACATGAAGTATTCCAAGTGGCGGGCGCTCGTGCTCGCGGTCCTAGTGGGCCTCGCGCTCCTGTGGGCGTTCGGTAGCGGGTCGGCTTCGCTGGTGGGCAAGGCGGCGCCGGAGTTCACCAACGATACCTGGATCAACTCGGAGCCGCTCAGGTTGAAGGACCTCAAAGGGAAGGTGGTCCTCATCGAGTTCTGGACCTACGGCTGATACAACTGTTTAAATACACTCCCATCGTTGGTGGGATGGCACGAAAAATACGGACCCCAGGGCCTCGTCGTGGTCGGCATTCATTCGCCGGAGTTTTCCTACGAACACTCGTTGGACAATGTTCGAAACGCCTGCAAGGAGCTGGGAATCAAGTTTCCGGTAGCGCAGGACAACGATTTCGCGACCTGGAAGCGCTACGGCACGCGCTACTGGCCCACGCTGCACATCATCGACAAGAAGGGCGTGATCCAGTACACGCGCTTTGGCGAGGGTGGCTACGAGGAGATGGAGAGCGAGATCCAGCGCCTGCTGAGTGAATAGCCCTCGAGTCCAGGCCGTTGGCGAGTAAGCAGTAGGTCGGGTTAGCCGAAGGCGTAACCTGACTCCCCACGGCCCTTTGTCGGATTACGCTTCGCTAATCCGACCTACGACATTACGAAATTGCACCGCGGAAACCGGACATCCGATGTAGGGGCGGGTTTCAAACCCGCCCGCGCCCGCACCGCGCTGTCGATCGATACAACCTCATATCCCACTGAACAGGAGCGAGGGTAGGGGCGACCGGCCGGTCGCCCCTACGGGGTTCCTCCGGAACGCCGGCCGTTAAGCCCGTAGGTCGGGTTAGCCGAAGCCGTAACCCGACTTCGCACTACCCCACCGGGCAGCTCACGCCGACGCCGCCCAGCCCGCAGTATCCCCAGGGATTCTTGGCGAGATACTGCTGGTGATAGTCTTCCGCGAAATAGAATTCGCCGGCGTCCAGGACCTCGGTGGTGATGCCGCTGTAGCCCGCCTTTGATACCTCCGCCTGATAGCGTTCGCGCGAGGCTTCCGCGGCCTCGTTCTGGCCGTTGCCGTATGTGTATATCCCCGAGCGGTACTGCGTGCCCACGTCATTGCCCTGGCGCATGCCCTGGGTCGGATCGTGAGCCTCCCAGAACACCTTGAGGAGCTCATCGTAGCTCACCGCCTTGGGATCGAACACCACCAGCACCACCTCGTTGTGCCCGGTCATGCCCGTGCACACTTCCTCGTAGGTGGGATTGGGCGTCATTCCCCCGGCGTAGCCCACCGCCGTGGTGTAGACGCCGTCGAGCTGCCAGAAACAGCGCTCCGCCCCCCAGAAGCAACCCAGGCCGAACACCGCCTTCTCCATGCCTTCGGGGTAGGGCGGCGCCAGCGGATGGCCGTTCACGAAATGCGCCGCCGGCACCTGTATCTTCTCCTGCCTCCCGGGCAGCGCCTTGGCTGCATCCGGTATCTGTGTCTTCTTGCCGATCAATCCCCAGAGCATCCCCGTCTCCTTTCGCAAGGACCCCAATCGATGCGCGCGTGTCGATTTCGGACCCCTTAACCATGACACGTTTGGGTACGGTTTCAAGCCGAGGGCCGGCGTGGACGTTGTACCAAACGCCACCTGACTTGCGTTTGGTAGCACCAAATGCCACCGCGACGTGCATCTGGTGCCGCCCGCAAAGGTTCGCTGCTTCCGGCCCGCTCCGCGCGGTGTTATCCCCTAGGGGTGGAAACCGGCATCGCCTATGCGCTGGCGGCCGCGCTGTTCTGGGGCACCTCTCCGGTGCTGGTCAAGCGCGGCCTCAGGCACTCCAACGTCAGCGCCGCGGTGCTGCTGCAGCAGGTGGGCTCGGTGCTGACCCTCGTGCTGATCATGGTTCTTCCGTTCGGCGAGGCGACGCTCCGCATGCCCTGGTCCGCGGCTGGGGTGTTCGTCTCCGTCGGCCTGGTGGGAAGCTTCCTCGGCCGCACCTTCGTGCTCAAGGGGTATCGACGAGATCGGCGCCTCCAAGGCCCAGTCCATCTCCAATTCCGCGCCGCTGCTCACCGCCGTCTATGCCATCGTTCTGTTGGGTGAGACCGCGACCCCGATCATCCTCATCGGTGTGGTCCTGATCGTCACCGGGCTGCTGATCATTACCCGCGGGACCCCCGACGACAAGGTCACCGGACGGCCGTGAGCTACAAGGCATTCCTCAACCCCCTCCTGTCCATCATATTCTTCGGCTTCGGGCCGATCCTCAAGAAGGTGGCGATGCTTGCCGGCGGCACAGCCCGTTCCGGGAGCGCTGATCACCCACCTCACCGGACTGCTCCTCATCTTTCTGTTCGGCCGGGTGCTGCACATTGAATGGAGGGAAGGGATACGGGTCTCCGGCGACAGCTACTTCTTCCTCCTCCTGTCCGGGTTGTTCCAGGGCGTGGGCTCCATCCTGACCTATCTGGCGGTGGCCTACGCCCCGGCCATCATCGTCGCCCCCATCTGGAACGTCCAACCGCTGATCACCTTCTCGCTGGCGCGGCTGATCCTGAGGGGGGACGAAACCGTAACCCTCAAGGACGGCCTGGCCGCGGTGCTGGTGGTGGCGGGGGTGTTCTTCCTCTTTCAGTCGCGGGGGTAGCGGCGATACTGTTGCGCTACGGTTGCCGACGCCCTGAATACGTCATTGGTACGATATCCGAGAGGGGCCTCGTTTCCGTCATTCCCGCGCAAGAGGGAATCCAGGGGTGGAGAGGTTGGGCGGGTCGAGTGTTACGTCAGCTCTCCGAACACGGCAATCCATATGCACGGCGGCGTCCGGCTCGTGTAGTCGACGCGGTGGCGCCGGTGGGCGGGTATGAGCACGTGGTCCCCAGCGTTGAGCCGTAGCCCTATCGCCGTTCTCATATTCCAGCACCGCCTCCCCCTGGATCAGAACGACCCATTCGTCGCGTTCCTGGTCGTACCACTCCCCCGCGGGGGAGTTCTGGCCGTGGGAGACGATGCGCTCGATCTTCACGCCCCGGTCGGGAATCAGGTCGGTGAACTTCTCAGCGTCTGGGAGCGGTTCGGGCAGGTTATAGAGATTGACCCGCATATTGAACTAAGTCTCCCGCCTACCTTATGGACGGTGAGGGCTAGCGTTATGACTCAAGGTGGAGTGCAGGGGTGTCCAGCCACGGCGGCGGGTTCTCTGCGATCCACTTTGACTCGGGCGTCAAAATCGCGACCTCGCGATGTGGATTCTCAGGGCTGGCATTATCATAGATCCGAGTGTCGTCGGACCGCGCGACAGCCGCCGGAAGGTTCGCCAGCGAGCGAGGAAACCTCCGCCTCACATCCCCTTCCGGCACGTCGTGACCACCCAAAGCTACACGGTTGGCGATCCGGTCCAGCGCTTGGGCGACGGAGTTCACCGAGACGTAGTGCAACTCGATTCTGTATCCTGCGGCACGGGCTTGGTCCATGACGAGAAGTATGGTTCTGCCAGCCAACGTGGTTTCCACGACGACTGTTCTGCGATTGGCGAAAGCGGCGCGGCGTCTCCGCACAGCCTCGCGGCGGGCTGCACGCACGGCACTTTCGGGATCAACAAGACTGTTGCGGCGAGCTATGGCGTCAGGGTCGATCAACTCCACGCCGCCGAATCGCCTGGAACGTGTTAGCGTGGATTTCCCTGATCCGTTCGGGCCAGCCACGATATAGAGGATCGGCGTGGCCGAAGGCATTGGCAGGCTGGATCAGGCGCGCTTGCTTGTACCTGGCGTGACGATTTCGTCGCCACTCCTGGTCCGGGCAACATAGGCGCCATCCCGGCGATAGCCGTAGAGTGTGCCACCAGCCTCAACTTGAGCAGCTAGATCGGCCTTGATCCGATCACGCCATGCAGCCTTTCGAACAGGCTCCTCAGGGGGCCCCGTGTCTTCGGCTTTCACCATAGGCAACACGTTAATTGGTCAATGTCCGAATTGCAACTCTCGCTAACCCAAGAAGATAACCAAGCGCTTCGCTTGGTTAAGGGGGTTTGAAGCTGCAGCAAGCGCTACGCTGACCGAGCCCGATCTACGCGCTAGTGTCCGTGCAGGTGGTACACTGGGCTATGTGCGCACGGGCCTGGAGCCGAGTGGTGCCGTGGTACATGGGTTGAAGGAGCGCGTGGCTTTGGTTAACCGGCATGCTCCGGCGGGCGGAATAGCGCGAACACCTTGTCCGAGTTGGTGATCCACGATTCCAGGAACACCGCGTCGTCGGGCTTGCGGTCGATCTCGGCCATGGCGCCGGCCAGGGCGAACCAGTTGAGCAGCTCGTGGTGGCCGCGGTCCTCGGCTTCCGGCAGGTTGGTCTTGCGCCAAGTGTCCCAGTCGCCGTCCCGGAGCGCCTGGAAATAGCGCTTGTCGGACTCCACGTCCGGGTACATGAACGAGTGCTTGGCGGTGAGGAACGAATGGGACCAGCTCGACGAGGCGATGAGCGCCACCCGCCACGGACTCTCCCGAAACGCGCGGGCGGTGGCCGCGCCGATGTCGAAGCAGCGCCAGGGCTGAGGGCCCGGCGGGTCGAACTGGTCTGCGATGTTTGCGCCGCCGAGGGCGTCAGCGGAATGCCCCGGCTGCCCACGAGCTTGCGGCCGTAGCTGTTCACGGTAAACGGCACCACCGGATAGGGGAACCCCTTGCGGTCCCAGTCGAGGTACAGAACGGAGTTCACGAAGGCGTGGCCTACCCCGCGATGGAGCGGCTTGTACGAGTACGCCACGTCAAAGCCGTTATCCAGCAGGCTCGATGCCAGATACTTTCCGCCTTCCTGATGGCCCGGGATGGTGAAGGTCTTGTCGTCGGGCTCATCCCAGACATTCGCGCCGCGGCGGCTATGGGTCCACGGCTGTGCGTCCACCGACTCATAGGCGAGGATGGAGAAGGCCGGCACGCAGTCTTCGTGGTAGTTTTCGTACTGATCGTCGCCCCACATCACGCACAGGTCGGGCTGGAAGTCGTCCAGCGCCCGGCGCGCGATGCGGAAGCGGTCGATCATGTCCTGGCGGTGCGCGTCGGAGTGGCTCTGGCCGTCGTCCGTGCTCCACTGCTCACGCATGGGCGCCGGCCAGTTGTCCATGTTGCGCAGCCGCTCCGGCAGTGCCGGGTCCTCCAGACACATCTTGATGCGGCGGGTCATGTTTCCCTGAAACCCGAGTCCAGGGTAGTGCGTGATGCCGAGGCCGAGTATCTCTCCCATTTCCCTTCCCCCTTCTTTTAGGAGTCATTCCCCGTTGCTACTAACTCCGACGCGGGAGACGGCGCCCTTCGACTTCGCTCCGCTACGCTCAGGACGAACGTTTGCGTTTTCCGTTCGTCCTGAGCGTAGCGGAGCGTCAGCGGAGCGAAGTCGAAGGGCGCCATATCACCGTCACGGCAGCGTCCGCAGCAGGCGCCCGAAGCCTTCAACAGGCTCGCGAATCCTGAGGCGCTTCTGGGTCGCCCACACCTCGGCATTTAGGTTGGTGACCACGGGCACCCCGAGATCCTCCTCCAGGTACTCGATGGCGGGCAGGCAGTCCCAGCCCGCGCCCAGGAGGTAGACGCACTCCCCGCCGTGCTCGACGAAGGCCTTCTTGGCCTCGCGGTAGATCACCTCGACCGGGATTTCGCCGAGTCCGCGAAGTCCACACCGCGGATCTCCTCGATTCCGGTCACCGTGAATCCGGCCTGCTCGATGAAAGCGGCGAACTTCGCGTTCATGGCGCCCTGGATGTAGGAGAGGATCACCATCGTGCGTACCTCCAGCGCGCGAAAGGCCTCCACCTGGGCGGTGGTCGCGGTGAGTACCGGCACCGCGTACTGCCGGGTCAGCCGCTCGGTCAGCTCGCCGTCGAAGCGGTAGCCCCGGAGCATGATCGGCGGCACTCCCTGGATCACCACCAGGTCCACTCCGAACTCGGCCAGCTCGGCCACCCTGGATTCGGCCACGGCGATGGCCTCGTCGAACTCGGCCTCCGTGCCGGCGCGGACGCCGACGTAACGCGGCACCACACACACCCCATCCGGCAGGAGCCGCGTGAAGGTCTCAAGCGAACCGGGCCGAAACGTCGGCTTCACTACCCCTACGGTTCCACGCCAGCAATACAAGGCCTGTCCTCCTGATCCCTGAGGAAACTCTGATTATTTGCCATCGTCAGGGTATTGCGTCCTTCGACTTCGCTCGGCTACGCACTCGCTACGCCTGTCCTGAGCTCGTCGAAGGGCTCAGGACGAACGGGCAGGTGGTCCCACAACCGTTCGTCCTGAGCGTAGCGTAGCGAAGTCGAAGGACGCCCATGCCTAGCCGTCGTCACACGGCGATGGTCTGGCCGCCGTCCACCACCAGGGCGTGGCCGGTGACGAAGGAGGCTTCGTCGGATACCAGGAACAGCACGCCGTAGGCCATCTCCTCCGGCGCGCCATTCGCAGCAGGGCCTTGTTGCTGTCGGCCATGCGCTTGCGCTGCTCGGGGGTGGCGGCCTGCAGCGAAGGTACCGGCGGGTGCCCGCGGAAGCGCGGCGTCTCGGTGGCGCCGGGACAGATGCAGTTCACGCGGATGCCCTTGGGGCCGTAGTCCAGCGCCATCTGCCGGGTCAGGCTGATGACCGCCGCCTTGGTGGCGCAGTAGGCCGGATAGTTCGCCGAGCGCCAGCAGCCCGAAGGTGGACGCCGTGCTCACGATGTTGCCGCTACCCTTCTCGAGGAAGTGGGGGACCACCGCACGGACACTCCTCTGGATGGCGTTCAGGTTGAGGTCCATGATGAAGTTCCATTCGTCGTCCGTGAACTCGTGAGCCTGCTTGCGTATCCCGCCGCCGGCGTTGTTGTAGAGGATGTCCACGCCGCCGTACCGTGCGATGGCGGTCTGGACCATTTCCTCGGGACCGCCCTTCGCAGTGACGTTTACGTTCAGGAAGGTGGCCTCGCCGCCCTCGCCGATGATGAGCTCATCCACCCGCGGCGTCATGGTTTCCTGGATGTCGCAGCACACAACGCTGGCCCCCTCGCGCGCGAACAGCCGCGCGGTGGCCCGTCCGATGCCGCTGTTGGCCCCGGTGATGATGGCCACCTTGCCTCGCAGCCGCCCCAATCCCTCCCTCAGCATGGGATGCTCGTCGCCGTTCGGTTTCGCCATTGCTTGCCTCCTTGGAGTTTGCGCCTTCCGGCTCACTCTCCATTATCCGATTGCCGGTTGATTGCCAAGCATCCCCGACGGCCGTCCGGGTGGTCCCACGCTACCAATCCCCGTATCCACGCCCCGTATCCATGCCCATCCGCGTAGGTCGGATTAGCCGAAGGCGTAATCCGACACACGGCTCCAACTCCAATACGGCGTCGGATTACGCCTTCGGCTAATCCGACCTACGGGAAAGGATGACGGTGGTGGCGGTGGGAAACAATGCCCGGCGGCCGCGTATTAACCTTGCCCGGACAATCCGCTACAGTAGGATCTTCTGCCCCGGAAACCCCGACAAGGGCCGATCTCATCGAGGAGGACACACATGGACCAGGCGGACGAACGATTCGTGGACGTGGACGGCATCCGCACCCGCTACTTCGAGAAGGGCAGCGGCGAGCCGCTGGTGCTGTTTCACGGCGGCAATTTCGGCTCCAACGACGCGGCCGACTGCAGCCTCGATTGGGGCCTCAACTTCGACGGCCTGGCGCAGTGGTTCCACGTCTACGCGGTGGACAAGCTCGGCCAGGGGCTGACCGACAATCCCAAGAGCGACGACGACTACACCATGGCCGCGGTGGTGCGGCACGCCCTGGGCTTCCTGGAGACCCTGAAGCTCGGCAATGTCCATCTCGTGGGCCATTCCCGCGGCGCCTACCTGGTGGCGCGCATGGCCCTGGAACGGGCCGACCTGGTCAAGTCCGTGATCCCGGTGGACACCAACACCCTGGCGCCCGGGGTCGGGCGCAACGACATCGTGTTCGCCAACGCGCCGAGCCCGCGGCTGGGTCGGGAGAGCCAGCGCTGGGTGCTGGAGCGCTACTCCTACAGCCACGACCACATCACCGATGACTGGCTCGATGCCTGCACCGCCATCGCCCAACTACCCAAGTACAAGGAGGCGGTGGACAAGATGGAGATGCAGGGGCTCAAGACCAACCTCTTCCTGGCCCAGCACGCGCGGCAGAAGGAGGAGACCCTGGGCCTGCTACGGGACCGCGGCTTTCAACGGCCCACGCTGCTGGTGTGGGGCTACAACGACCCCACCGCGACCCTCGACCAGGGCATGCGCCTGATGGAGATCATGGCCGGAAGCGAACGCCGCACCCAGATGCACATCATCAACCAGGCCGGCCACTTCTCGTACCGGGAGCATCCCCCGGAGTTCAACGAGACGCTGCGGGCCTTCATCGCAAGCCAGTAGTCCGGGATGGAGCGGGACAGGTTGGAGCGGGTTCCGGCCGTAATCCTGTTTTCTGGCATAAAAACGAAAAATCCCGTATATTGTAGCCTATGCCAGAAATGAAGAAAGCCACGGATCCACACAGCCCCACGCCGGACGGGAGCGATGGCGGTCAATCGAGACGAGTCCGCATCGACCCGGCGGGCCGGGTCGTCGTGCCGGCCGGGTTCCGTAAGGCGCTTGGCATCCGTAGCGGTCAGGAACTCATGCTTTCGCTGGACGATGGGGTCCTCAGACTCCAGACCATCGACGCGGCCCTCGATCGGGTGCGGCTGATCGCCAGAAGCAAGCGCAAGGGGCGCGGGAGTGTCGTCGAGCAGTTCATCGCGGAGCGGCGCGCGGAGGCTGCCCGGGAGTAGTTTGGAGTAGGGATTGCGCGCGTCGGTCTCTGGACGCATCCGCTGTTACCCTAGCGTTGATACTGGAGGAACAGGGTGCCGACCTCGTCGTCGAGGCACTACGGTCCGGTACGGCGATGTCGGCCGTCAACGTCGCCGAGGTGGCAGCCCGTCTTCATCAGGATGGCTGGACCGAGTCCGAGTTACGGGCTGTCTCGGGACCCTGGGTATCGAGGTCTTGCCGTTCACACGTGAAGCCGCGTTGTTGAGCGCCCGACTCCGTACCGTCACCAAGCGGCAAGGGCTCGGACTGGGCGACCGTGCCGCCCTTGCGACCGGCCGTCTGAGCATGTCCGATGACTCTCACTCCGATCGCGTCTGCAAGACTCGACATCCGCGCATACGACATCCGTGCATCGCGAGATCGCGGCTTTGAAAAACACAACGAGCGCGGGTCAAGACCCATCATCGCGCGATACAATGTCTGGAGGCGAAACCCATGGCCAAATACATGTTCCAATCGACAGTACACCGCACAAGGGCATGGGGGCATGTGAGGAAGGCGGGGCAGCCGGCGGCGGACGCGGGAGCGCTTGACCAGACCATCGAGGGATGGCGGCAGCGTCGTGGAGGGTTTTACGTCCGGCTTCGGCGACACCGACCTCTACCTGATCGCCGATCTTCCCGACGACGCCACGGCAACGGCCGTCTCGCTCAACATCGCCAACGCCGGCGCCCTTGACATCAAGGCCACCGTGCTGATCACGCCGGAGACGGTGGACGAGGCGGTGAAAAAGAAGGTGCCCTACCGGCCGCCGGGGGCCCGGGCCACTCGCGGCAGCAAGTAGGGTCGAGCGGCGGCACCGGCTTGAGCGGGCGCCGGTGCCCCTTACCGAACCATGCCCCTCGTAAGTTTCGAAGACGTATCCCTGCAGTTGGGTGACCAGCGGCTGCTGGCTCACGCGGATCTCGCCATCGAGCCGGGGAGCGGGTGTGCCTGATCGGCCGCAACGGCGCGGGCAAGACCTCTTTGCTCCGGCTCATCACCGGCCGGCTCGAACCCGACGACGGCGAGATCCACACCCAGAGCCGCATCCGCGTCAGCGAGTTGGAGCAGGCGCTCCCCGAGGAGCTCCGGCAAACGGTGCGGGAATACGTCACCACCGGGCTGGCGGATCTGCAGGCCCTCATCGATCTCTATCAGCAGCGGTCCCAGGAGACTCTGGACCGAAAGGGCCTGCTGGAGCTGGAGGCGCTGCATCGGGAGATCGACGCCCACGGCGGCTGGCACCTGGACCAGCGCGTGGATACGGTCCTGAGCGAGCTGGATCTGCCGGCGGACCGGCGGCTGGAGGAGCTGTCCGGCGGCTGGCAGCGCCGGGTGGGGCTGGCCCGGGCCATCGTCGGCAACGCCGAGCTGCTGCTGCTCGACGAGCCCACCAACCATCTCGACCTGAGCACGATCCAGTGGCTCGAGGACCGGGTCTACAACTACGCGGGCAGCGTCCTGTTCATCACCCACGACCGCGCCTTCCTGCGGCGGCTCGCCACCCGCATCGTGGAGCTGGACCGCACCCGGCTCACGAGCTGGCCCGGCAACTACTGACAACTACCTCAAGCTCAAGGAGCAGACCCTGGCGGACGACGCCCGGCGCAACGCCCTGTTCGACAAGCGGCTGTCCCAGGAGGAGGAATGGATCCGGGCGCGGCATCAAGGCGCGCCGGACGCGCAACGAGGGCCGCGTGCGGGCGCTCATGGCCATGCGGGACACGGCAGCGCAGCGCCTCAAGCCCCAGGGCCAGGCGCGCATCCACGTCCAGCACGGCGGGCAGTCCGGCCGCAAGGTGGTGGAGCTCCGCAACGTTACCCACGGCTACGGCGCCGAGCCGCTGATCCGGAACCTTTGGCTCCGCATCATGCGCGGCGACCGCATCGGGCTCATCGGCAACAACGGCGTCGGCAAGAGCACGCTGCTACGCATCCTCGTGGGCGAGATCACGCCCAACTCCGGGACCGTGGAGCCGGGCGCGAATCTCGAGATCGGCTATTTCGATCAACTGCGGCGGGAGCTCGACCCCGACAAGACCGTGGCCGAGACCGTGGCGGACGGCCGCGACCATGTAATGGTGAACGGTAAACCGCGCCACGTCATCGGCTACCTCAGCGGCTTCCTCTTCAGTCCCAAGCGGGCCATGAGCCCGGTGGCCGCGCTGTCCGGCGGCGAGTGCAACCGCATCATTTCTGGCCCGGCTGCTCACCCAGCCGGCGAACCTGCTGATCCTGGACGAGCCCACCAACGACCTCGACATCGAGACCCTGGAGGTGCTGGAAGAGCAGCTTGTGGCCTACCGGGGCACGCTGCTGGTGGTCAGCCACGACCGCATCTTTCTCGACAACTGCGTCACCAGCACCCTGGTGTTCGAGGATTTGGGCCGGATTCAGCCCTACGCCGGCGGCTACAGCGACTGGGCCAGACGCGGCAAGGCCCTGAACGTCACCGACGACCCCAATCGCAAAGGCGTCCGGGAACCGGCCCGGGACCGGCGCGAGACGAAGTCACGCCCCAACAAGCTGAGTTACAAGCTGCAAGTGGAGCTGGACGGGCTGCCGGACCGCATCGAGGCCATGGAGCAGGCCGTGTCCGCGCTGGAGGAGAAGACCCACCAGCCGGACTTCTACGCGCAGCCCTTCGCCAACGTCCAGCCGGTCCTGGACGAGATCAAGGCCGCGAAGGAGACTCTCGACCAGGCCCTGGAGCGCTGGACCGAGCTGGAGACCCTGAAGGAGGAGGCGGAGCGGACCCTTCCTCGTAGGTCGGATTAGCCGAAGGCGTAATCCGACTCCCCACCCCGCCCCGCGTCGTACTATGCCTTCAGCCAAGGAAGTCCTGATCAATTGGCGCCGAGCAAGATGGCGCCCTTCGACTTCGCTTCGCTACGCCTGTCCTGAGCCTTCCGACGAACTCAAGACAGGTGTAGCGGGGCGAAACGAAGTTGAAGGCGTCGGTACGAACCTTCCACCCGTTCGTCCTGAGCGTAGCGAAGCGAAGTCGAAGGGCGCCATCTTGCTCGGTGCCAATTGATCAGAGTCTTCCTAATCCGACCCCAGCCGCGGAGACTGAGGATACACATTGCCTGCCCTCGGAAACTCGGTTAAGAAGGGGGTCGGAGACACCCATGAAAAAACAAAAACTATTAGTGGCCGGGCACCCCGCGGTGCGCGTCGACGCGGTGGAGAAGGTTTCGGGCTCGGCCTATTATACCGGGGACATCGAGCTTCCGGGAATGGCGTATGCGAAGATCTTGAGGAGCCCCTTGCCCCACGCGCGGATCCTCAAGGTCGATGCCAGCAAGGCGAGGGCTCTGCCCGGGGTCGTCGACGTCCTCACTCGGGACGAGCTCGCCGGCCTCAACTACAAATACGGCGCCACCTACAAGGACCAGGCGGTGGTGGCGGTGGACAAGGTCCGGTACGTCGGCGACCCGGTGGCCGCGGTGCTGTCCGCGGACGAGCTGGTGGCCGAGGAGGCTCTGGCGCTCATCGACATCGAGTACGAGGAGCTGCCGTTCGTGGATACGGTGGACGATGCCCTGGCGCCCGGCGCTCCGCAGGTTCATGAGGGCGACGTTCCCAAGGCCGAGCTGCGGGGCTCCAAGTACGGCGCGCCGGACCGGTTCAAGGGCACCAACGTGTGCTACCACTTCGGCTACGCACGGGGAAACGTCGACACCGGCTTCGCACAGTCCGACCACGTCTTCGAGGATGTTTTCCGCTTCAACCGGGTGCAGCACTACTCGCTGGAGCCCCACATCTGCCTCGCCAACTACGACGGCGAGCGCCTGACGGTGTGGAGCTCGTGCCAGGACCCGTTCACGCTGCGGGGACACCTGGCCGGGATCTTCAAGCTCCAGCTCAATCGGGTGCGCGTGGTGGTGCCCTACGTCGGCGGCGGCTACGGCGGCAAGCTGTACGTCAAGGCCGACCCCATTGCCGCGGCGCTTTCGGTGAGAAACCGCCGCCCGGTCAAGCTGGCCCTCAGCGTCAGCGAGAGCTTCAAGACCGTGACGCGCCATCCCGCGCGTATCCGCATCAAGACCGGGGTCAGCAAGAAGGGCAAGCTGGTGGCCCGGGAGCTGGAAGTCTACATGGACACCGGCGCCTACGCCGACGCCGGACCCCGGGTGACCCAGAAGGCCGGCTACCGGGCGGTGGGACCGTACCGCGTCGCCAACGTCAAGATCGATGCCCACGGCGTCTACAGCAACACGGTGCCGGCCGGGGCCTTCCGCGGCTTCGGCGCGGTCCAGGTGGCCTGGGCCTATGAGTCGCAGATGGACATGATCGCCAAGCGGCTCGGCATGGACCCGCTGGACTTCCGGCTCAAGAACCTGCTGGAGAAGGGCGAGCCCTACACCCCCGGCGACACCCCCGTGGACTGCGACCTGAAGCAGGGGCTGCGCAAGGTGGCCCGGGCGCTGGACTGGAAGAAGGCTTCCCGGCCCAACGTGGGCAAGGGGCTGAGCGTTTGCCTGAAGGATGCGGGGGGCACCTACAAGGTGGCCGGCGCCACGGTGAAGATGTCCTCGGACGGCAGCGCGGTGCTGCTCACCGGCACCGTGGAGGTGGGCCAGGGTTCCCGCACCGCCCTGAGCCAGGTGGTGGCGGAGGAGCTGGGCATCAAGCTCGAGCAGGTGTCCGTGGCCCAGTTGGATACCGACGTCACCCCCTTCGACGTGTCCACCAGCGCCAGCAGCTCCATGACGGTCATGGGGTTGGCGACCCAGAGGGCGGCCCAGGATGTGAAAAAGCAGTTGCTGCGGGCCGCGGCCAAGGTCATGGGCGAAAAGGCCGACGGCTTGTCGCTCAAGGGCTGCCGGGTGCGCGGCGCCAAGGGACGCGGGTGCCTTACAGCGACGTCATCGCCGAGTACTTCGGCAGTTCCGCCACCGAGATCGTTGGCCGGGGTGTCTACCGCGACAAGAAGAGCAAGACCGCGGTGCTGGGCTCTCCCACCACCTTCTGGGAGGTGGCTGGGGCGGCGTCGAGTTGGAGGTGGACCCGGACACCGGCGTCATCCGCATCCTCAAGTACGTGTCCATGGCCGACGTGGGACGGGCCATCAACCCGTTGCAGGCCGAGGGGCAGGACGAGGGCGGCGTGATGTTCGGGCTGGGACACACGCTGCTGGAAGAGATGGTGTATGAGAACGGCCAGCTCCTGAACCCCAACCTCGTGGACTACCGCGTGCCGGCCTTCCACGATATGCCGGAGCAGTTCATCTCGGAGCTGGTGGAAAGCGGCAACGGCCCCGGGCCGTTCGGGGCCAAGGGCATGGGCGAGGGCGGCGTGCTGCCGGCCGCGTCCGCCATTGCCGCGGCATTGGACGATGCCGTCGGCGTCCGCATCTGCGACCTGCCGCTGACGCCGCCCAAGGTATGGCGGCACCTGCAGGAGCGTGACAGCGCCGGCTAGTGTGGTGTCTCACAAATACGGTTATGAAGCTGCGAGGGCATTTTGGTTGTCGGCAAGGCGCGATGACTTGTAGGGGCGACCGGCGGTCGCCCCTTAGTGGCGGGCACCACGCGAGGAAGAGCAACGCAGCCGACGGCCAAAAGGACCCGCAGATTCATAAGCGTATTTGTGAGACACCACACTAGTGTTTTGCCGGGCGCGACACTAGCCGGCCCGCACCCTGCGAATCGCGTTCGCGATGCGCGGACCGTGTCGCCACGGCATGACGACCGGTAGGGGCGATTGGCGGTCGCCCTCCGCGACCAGGCACTACGCGAGGAGGAACCTCGCGGCCCGACGGAAAAGACCGGTAGGGCGATTGGCGGTGCCCTCCGTGACCAGGCACTACGCGAGGAGGAACCACGCGGCCGACGGATAGACCGGTAGGGGCGACCGGCGGTCGCCCCGCATGCGCCTGCACCCACGAAAGGATTTCATCATGTCAGACTCCACCCGTTTCCGAGCCATGGTTGTCAGCGAGAACGAGGACAAGACCTTCTCCCGCGCCATCAGCGAGAGGACGGCGGACGACCTGCCGGACGGCGACCTGCTGGTCTCGGTGGCCTATTCGTCCCTCAACTACAAGGACGCGCTGTCGGCCTCCGGCAACAAGGGCGTCACCCGCAACTTTCCCCACACCCCCGGCATCGACGCCGCGGGCACGGTGGTGGAGAGCGGCGCCGGCGATTTCGCCGCGGGCGACGAGGTGGTGCTCACCGGCTTCGACCTGGGCGCCAACACCGACGGCGGCTTTGCCGAGTACGTACGGGTGCCGGCTGCCTGGGCGGTGAAACGCCCGGACGGGCTGAGCCTCAAGGAAAGCATGGTCTACGGCACCGCCGGCTTCACCGCGGCCCTGTCGGTGCTGCGGCTCCAGGAAGGCGGGGTCACGCCCGACTCGGGCGACGTGCTGGTGACCGGCGCCACCGGCGGCGTCGGCTGTCTGGCGGTGGGCATCCTGGCCCACGCCGGCTATCGGGTGGTGGCGTCCACCGGCAAGGAGTCGGAAAAGGACTTCCTCATGGGCCTGGGCGCGGCCGACGTCATCTCCCGCGAGGCCGCGGACGACCAGTCGGGGCGACCCTTGTTGAAGAGCGTGTGGGCCGGCGCCGTGGACACCGTCGGCGGCAACATCCTCGCCACCGCCATCAAGTCCGCCAAGTACGGCGGCGTGGTCACCTGCTGCGGCAACGTGGCCTCCGTGGATCTCCCCACCTCCGTCTTCCCCTTCATCCTCCGGGACGTGCGCCTCATCGGCGTGGCCACGCCGGACTGCCCCGCGGGCATCCGCGCCACCCTGTGGCAGAAGATGGCTGGTGAGTGGAAGCTGCCCAACCTGGACGCCGTCACCATCGACAGCTCGCTGGACGAGCTGGACCCCCACATCGAAAGCATCCTCAAGGGCGGGATCCGCGGCCGCGTGGTGGTGGACCTTTCGCGCTGACGCGCGCGGCGTGCCAGGGCCAGGCGTTTGGCAGGGTATGTTCACTCGCCCGGCAACCCCGCTCGGCCGCGGTTCTCTCAACAAGGAGGTATCCTGTGGTGCGGTCCTTCTGGGCGCTCGGTCTTGTGCTGTTTCTCGCGGCTTGCAGCGGAGGCGGATCAGGGCTTCCCACGGTGGACCCCAATTCCACGCAGTCCCTTACGGGCCTGCAACCGCCCAGTTTCTCCGATTCTGAGATCGTTCGAATCGTCAACCAGGTATTAGCCAGTGCAGACGCCATCCTCGTCAGCGATGTAGCCGTGGGCCAGGGGCAGGACGCGGGCGTTTTCTACACCTACTGCGATACCAAAACCATCTGCGTGACAGAGATCGATGGCGACTATGCCCTTTCTTGGGATGTCAGGGACATTAAGGATAGCGGCCTTGACCGGAACCTCAACTACTCGGGGGTGGGTGAGAAGTATGGAGTCTCCCTTGTCAAGGGCAAGGACGAAGCGTGTTCTCGGGTATCCCGGTCAGTGCCACGAGCTATGGAGCGTGGCTTGACCATAGCGCCTTCATTCTCAGTCTTGAACGGATAACTGGCGGGGACGTTGGCCGGGGTAGATTTGAGCGGAATTACGGTGGGCTACAGCCAGTCCATCGGCAACGATTCGGGCACGCGGCCCTCCGGGAGTGCCACGTGGAGGGGGATCATGGTCGGAGGCACCGGGGATATCGCAGGCGACATCGACGTGATCCAAGGGGATGCAACCGTAACCTACGACATCCGCAGGGACGACCTGGACGTGTACTTCACCAATGTCTACAATCTCGACACGCGAACGCGGTTCATGGACTTGCGTTGGTCGGACCTGTCCGTGGACGCGGACGGCCGCTTTGACCAGTCGACAGCCACAAGAGAGATCCATGGCCGTTTCTATGGTCCGAGCCATGCAGAAGTCGGCGGGGTCTTCACGCATCCCGAGGCGATCGGAGCTTTTGGAGCGAAACGGTAGCTGCTACAGCGCACGAACCCATTGAAGTCCGAGGAAGAATCGCCATGACATCATGGATGGTCGGTATCGATACCGGGGGCTCATTCACCGATCTGATCGCGTTTGATCCGGACACCGGCGAACGACGGATCGCCAAGGTGCCCTCAAGGCCGGATGATCCGTCGGCGGCGGTGATGAACGCGCTCGACGAGCTGTTCCAGTCCGGAGTCGACCCGGGCGGGATCGAGTTTCTGGTTCACGGCACCACCGTGGCGACCAACGCCATTCTGGAAAACAGGGGCGCGCGCACGGGTCTGTTGATCACCCGGGGCTTCCGGGCGGTCTATGAAGGGCGCGGCTGGTCGCAGCCGGCGCCGGAGGACCTGGCGGATCCCTACTACGTCAAACCGCCCCTGTTGGCGCCGCAATCGCTCACCGAAGAGATCACCGAGCGCCTCGACTATCTCGGCAACGTGCAGACACCGCTGGACGAGGATGACGCCCGGCGGGCGATCGCACGCCTGAAGGAGAAGGAAGTCGAGGCGGTTGCCATCAACTTTCTCTTCAGTTTCCGGAACCCCGAGCATGAGGAGAGGACCGCGGCGCTCATCGCCGAGATGGCGCCGGAGTGGCGTGTGTCGGTGTCGTCGCGCATTCTGCCCACCATCCGTGAATATCCGCGCCTATCGACCACCGTCATCGATGCCTTCGTGGGCAGGTCCATGGAGACCTACCTGCTGCGGCTCGTGGACAGGCTGCGCGCCGCCGGCATCGTGACGCCGCAGATCTTCCTCATGCAGTCCAACGGCGGCCTGATGCGCATGAACGTCGGCGCCCGCTATCCCAACCAGACGCTGCTCTCGGGTCCCGCAGCCGGCGTGGTGTCCGGTATCGAGCTGGCCGCGGTCCTGGGACGCAGGAACCTCGTCACCTTCGACATGGGCGGCACCTCCACCGATATCAGCGTGATCCGCGATGGGCGGTCCGAGGAGACCACCGCGGGCCGGATCGCGGGACAGGACCTGGCGACGCCGATGCTGGCGGTCCACACCCTGGGTGCGGGGGGCGGCACCATCGCCTGGATCGGGAAGGACGGCCTGATGAAGGTCGGGCCCCGGAGCGCGGGAGCCGACCCGGGACCGGCCTGTTACGGCAGGGGCGGCGAGCTGCCGACGGTGACCGACGCCAACCTGCTGCTGGGCGCCCTCGGGGACAGCAGCGCCCTGGGCGGGCGACTCCGGCTGGACCGGTCCAGGGCGGAGGCGGCGGTTCGGACGGGCCTGGCCGAACCGCTGGGCCTCGACGTGGTGCAGGCGGCGGCCGGGATTCTCACGATCGTCAACAACAACATGGCGGTGGAGCTCAGGCTTGCGCTGCAATACCGCGGCGTGGATCCGCGCGACTTCGTGCTGGTCGCCTTCGGCGGCGCCGGACCGCTTCACGCCGGCGTGCTGGCCGAGGAGCTCTGGATGCCCGCGGTGCTGGTGCCGCCGAATCCCGGCCTCAACAGCGCCTTGGGACTGCTCCAGACCCAGGTCCGGCACCTTTACCTGCAATCGGATCTCGGCCTGGTGAGCGGTTACGATCCGGCGCGCATGAACCAGCGTTTCGGGGAGCTGCGCCGCCGGGCGATGGAGGACATCGAGGCGGAGCACTTCGACCTCTCAGAGGTGGTTTTCCGGCGCCAGGTGGACATGCGCTATCTCCATCAGGGATACGAGCTTTCCGTGGACTGCCCGGATCGGGAGATCGTGGACGCGGACAAGGCCGAGCTCAAGGCGCGCTTCGATGAACGCCACGGCGCGGTGTACGGGGTTACCGCCAAAGACGAGGACGCGGAAATCGTAACGTTCCGGCTACTTGCGGAGATCGCGGTGCCGCGGCTCACGCCGCCGCCCATCGAATCCGGGGACCGGGGCGTCGAGAACGCCATCATCGGCCGGAGACCGCTCTTCGACCTGAAGCGCGGAGAGTTCCGGGAGGCGGTGGTGCTTGACCGGGGCGGTTGCTGGCCGGCAACCGGATCGACGGGCCTGCCGTGATCGAACAGCTCGACGCGACCACGGTGACTGCCCGAGTCGCAGCATGCCACCGTCGACACGTTCGGCAACCTCGTCATCGAGAGAGACCATCATGACCTTGGTGCTATGCTCCCGTACAGGTTTGCAAAGATGCGCAGGATTTCGGGTCGTCGGCAAGGCGCGATGACATGTAGGGGCGGGTTTCAAACCCGCCCGTGTGCGAAAGACCAGCAGATGGGTAAACTCGTATGCTAGACTGACAACAGACCCCATCACCACCGAAGTCGTACTGAGCCGGCTGCGGGAGATCACCGCATCCATGGCCCATGCGCTGTTCCACAGCGGCTACTCTCCGATCCTGCGCGAATCGCAGGACGGCACCGCCGGGCTCACCGACCGGGACGGACGTGTGATCATGGTGGGCGGAGGCCTGCAATTCCATTCCCTGCTGTATTCGCAGTCGGTGGCCAGCATCCTGGAACGTTACCCGGCGGAGGAGATGAGCGAAGGCGATTCGTTCGTTTCCAACGATCCCTACAAGGCGGGCAACAGCCATGTACCCGACATGATGGTGGCGACGCCGGCATTTCACGAAGGCAAGGTGGTCGCCTTCGGGGTGAGCGTGGCCCACAAGGCGGATGTCGGCGGGCTGGTGCCGGGCTCGAGCGGCGCGGCAGCGCGCGAGATCTTCCACGACGGTCTCCTGCTGCCGCCGGTGCGGTTCGTGACGGCCCAGGGCGTCCTTCCGGAGGTGGAGGCAATACTTCGTAACAACAGCCGTACTCCGGACGTGGTGCTCGGCGATCTGCGCGGACAGGTGGGGGCCACGAGACTCGGGGCGATCCGGTTCCAGGCGCTGCTGCGCGAATATGGAGCGGACACCCTGTTGGGCACCATTGACGAACTGCTGACGCGCACCACCGCCCGGGTCCGGCGCGAGATCGCGTCCTGGCCGGACGGGGAGTTCGAGGCGGAAGGGTTCCTCGATCACGACGGCGTGGACCGGTCGAAGCCGGTACGTATCCACGTCCGGGCCATCAAGGCCGGGGAGCGGTTGACGCTCGATTTCTCCGGCAGCGACCCCCAGGCCCCCGGACCCGTGAACACGACGCGGGTTACGGCGCGGGCGGTTTCGACGCAAGCGGTTCTGGCGGCATCGGATCCGAGCATCCCGATGAATGCGGGCGCATTCGAGGCCATCGAGTTCAACCTGCCGCCGGGACTCGTGATGAGCCCGGAATTCCCGGCAACCGTCAACCATTACTTTCCGACGTCGCACCTGGTCTACAACTGCGTTCTCGCCGCCATCGGACGGTTCAACCCCAACTCGGGCGGTGGCGCCCTCCGGCCTCGGCACCGGCGCCATTGCCGTCGGCTACAAGGAAGCCGCTCGGGCCGTCCCACCGTCCAGTATGAGATCCTGATCACTTCGCTGGGCGGCACCAGCGACCATGACGGTGCGGCCATCGTCATGCCGGTCAATCATTTCGCCCCCGGCACGCCGGTAGAGATCCTCGAGACCGAATATCCCGTTGCCGTCCGCCGCTACGAGATCTGGCCGGACTCGGCCGGCGCCGGGCGCTGGCGCGGCGGCACCGGGTTTGTCCGCGAGTACGAGTTCCTGACCGATTGCATGCTCACGGTACGCTCTTCAAACCATCGACAGGCCTCATGGGGCCTGAACGGCGGCGGAGCCCCGCCCACCTCCAAGACCACCATCCAGAACCCGGACGAGGACCCCTCCGAAGTCGACATCCTGGAAAGCCGGTCGCTCCAGGCCGGCGCCAGGCTTGCCATCTTCCGTAGCGGGGGCGGCGGTTACGGCGATCCCAGGGAACGCCCCGCCGAGCTCGTGCGGCAGGACATTGAGGACGGGTACGTGTCGCGGGAGCAGGCGCGGGAGGCGTACGGGTTGGTTGACGACGAGGGCTGAGGGGTCGTGAAGAGGGCGCCCGCCCTTTGGGGTCGGATTCTCTATGGTCGCGTTTCGCGGATAAGACGG